TAGAAAAAAGCAGGGAACAGCCTTTTAAGTCATCTTGCCATATTTAGAAGACATGATTAACATAAACGGTGGGAAAATAGGCTGTTCATTCCTCTTAGGCAGAGAAGAGTTCTCAGTACGTACCGTCTTAGGTATATGAGAGAGAGAGAGAAGCAACACTCTGTGAGCCCTTAGAGTGGACTCTGCTTCTGTGAAGAGGAGAGAGGCCCTCAGTCCTGGGCTGCCCCATCTGGGAGGAGGTGGTGTTGCTCTGCGATGCTTCCTTTAGAGCTTACATCCTGGAGTTTATGTGAGTTTCTGGGTCCACATGCCAAATCCCCACAGAATCCTCTTTACTCCCCACAAAAGCTTTGTCATTTTCCCCGCATTTGCACTCCATGGCATCATACTCTGATTCTGTGGTTTGTGATACCCCCCTAAATCCAACACTCTGTTCTCAGAAAAGTCTTAATATGTTTGTAAGGGCAATGAACTGGGAGTCTGGTGACCCAGGTTCAAGTCCAGAAGCCACAATTTAACCAGTTAAATCACTTTAGATCTCACCTCTCTGTGTTATTTTTTTTCCTCGACTTAGAAAATACAGATAATAACTGTTGTTCTATTGTTTCCATAGAGTTGTTTTGAGCATGAAGTAAGAATGTAAAAATAGTTTGTAAAGCTCTATAGAAATACACGTTTTGTTTTTATTTTAGTACTTTTAAAATACTAAAAAGATTGATCAGGTTCCCCTACGCTTAAACTACTCGCAAGCAAATGAGTAGCGTTATCAGAGCTAAGCAAATAGTAAATAAATAGAAACGAAGTCAGCAACTGTAAAGCAGCTGTAGGTCATCATGACACACTTGGAGCGTGGGCTGTAGGTCAGAAGCACCATAATTGCCTGGGAGCTTGTAGAAGTGCAGACTCAGATCCTGCCCCAGAAGTGCTGATTCAAAATCTGCATTTTAACAAGCTCTCCAGGTTCTTCATGTACACATTTAAGTTTGAGAAGCACGGTGGCCTGTACCACGTGGCACTGGAGAGTGCAAGCTGACTCCACACAAAAGTAGTGAACATTTTTTTTATTTGAATTATTAGCTTTGAACAAAATATTGCTAGCTCACGGAACCTGTTGTGTCATACATTTTTTTTAAGATGAGGCTAACAAGTAGCTATTTACATTTTTTTTAAATTTTTTTTTAATGTTTTATTTATTTCTAGGAGAGAGAAAGAGACAGCGTGAGCAGGGGAGGGTCAGAGAGAGAGGGAGTCACAGACTGAAAGAGGCTCCAGGCTCCGAGCTGGCAGTCAGCACAGAGCCCGATGCGGGGCTCGAACCCACGAACCGCGAGATGATGACCTAAGCGAAAGTCGGATGCTTAACCGACTAAGCCACCCAGGTGCCCCTATTTACATATTTTTAAAAGCTGATTTAACAAGTCATTAAGTAATAGAGTAAGTGATACTTGGATGGGACAGAAATTATGAGAGCATCTCTCAAGAGATTGGCCTTTGGGTGAGTAGGAGCTCGGTGGGATTCAGGGCAGGATGACAGTAGCTGGAAGGACCTGTGGTGCCGCTCGCCCTAGCCAAGGGCACACAGAGAAGGCATAGCTCTCACGTTTGCCAGGCACCCTAGGTCAGACTAGGGGTGTCCAGAATCATCTTCCACTAACCAGATGAGAATACAGACTGAGCTCAAGGCCAAGGGCCCCTTTATGTCTTTCACTTAGGATTCTTTGGGGAAGAGTTCAAGCACCAAAATGCCCTTTATTTCTTTATTTCCTGCTTAGAGGAGCTGTAGGGATAGAAGATTCTCCAGTCCATTCTTTGTGCCAGCCTTTAGCTAAGTGTCAAGTCTGTGGACAGTTTATCCAAGGAAGTATTCACTCCCCATAACTCAATTTCTCCCGGGACACACTTACTGGAGTCAAGTTCAGTTCCTTATGAGGCCAGCTTTGTGAGATTTTGCCTACTTTTTTTCCCCTCTCTTTCATTTTTTCAGTAACCTTCAAAATTATGTAAGGAAGAAAACTAAATTCTCCAGTCATTAGAATATAGAGGGGGATGTGCTCCATCTGAACTGCTCCAGGTTCCCACATGTGCTGCTCCAGGTTCCCACATGTGCTACTCCCATAAACGCCTGTGTTGGCCTTTAGTTCAGGTTCCCGTCTTCTTTTCAGCCCATTTGCAGGCCTTCTTGACCCAACACTGATTCCGTCATCTGTGATTATCTATCTGAAGCCATTGCCCTGGCTTAATTACAGCTGGGAAGGATTTCCATGCAAATGAAACCCTCTAGCCTCTTGATAAGGGTTAGTGCTCCACAGGAGGAAGCTTCCAGGAGGAAGAGCCTGGCGGCACATTTGTATCTTCCACACACACAGAAGGGAAGTAGTAGAAGGTATTGATATTAAAAAAAAAACCAAAAAAACACCTTTTGAGATTATAAGTTGAAGAAGGGTAGTAATTTGCACTTTCCTAAAGGATATATGTAAGGGGGCGCCTGGGTGGCTTAGTCAGTTAAGTGTCTGACTTCAGATTGGGTCACGATCTCATGGTTTGTGGGTTCGAGCTCCATGTCAGACTCTGTGCTGAAAGCTCAGAGCCTGGAGCCTGCTTCGGATTCTGTGTGTCTCTTTCTCTGCCCCTCTCGTTGCTCATGCTCTCTCTCTCTTCCTCTCTCTCTCTCTCTCTTTCTCAAAGAATAAACATTTAAACAAATTTTTTTAAAAACCATGTGACTTTTCTGAAGGGTGATTTGGCAGTATTTATCAAAATGTAAAATGCATATACACTTTAACCATGCAATCCTCCAGATATGCAAAGATCGTATAAATGACCCTTTTGAAAGCACTATATCTTTTAGCCTGAGGGGAAAGCAGTGTCTGTGCCCCTCAGGACACAGTGCTTAATGCATGGAGTCAGTGGGATAGTATTCAACAGTTGAAAAGATGTGTAAGCTATACATGAAAAAACATGAGAAAAAATAGAGAAGATTGTGAGTAATATGATCACATTTATATATTTTTTAAAAAGGTGGATGGAGTAATTACAACATGCTACATATACTTGTATGTGGAAAAAAAAGTTCTATGAAAAGACACAGCAGCAACAGATAGCTGTGGATTCAGGGAAAAGTTCAGGGGAGAAAGAGACCTTGAGTTATTTTAAAATGCGTAATTTTGTATTTAATTAAAACAATTCTTTGTGAGAACTGTGACTGGCTTTACTTCTGTTGAGAGATAATGTTAAATCATCACATCCTTTCTCTTCCCCCAACCCACACACTCCTGTCCCCACTTCATCCTTAATAGTAGGGCTCTTCAGGAGTAGGAACTGAGGATCTTTGCTTTCCCTGGGAATGACTTTTGAGCTAGAAAACAAATATGAGGGAAGCGGCCACAGGGTTGGAAGGTGAGGGAAAAACAAAGACATTGTCCAGTACCAACCCTGAAGAGCCATATGCTGAAAGCAGGCCGTTCTTCGGTTATTTCAATTAGCCATTTAAAATAATTCAGATAAACATCATGAAATTTCTCGAAAGAAAAATTTGGCTTGGATTTCCTGGGTAATTATTCCAAGTGCCTACTGCTCCTATAGGGAAAATAAGGTTACTAAATCGTACTCATTTCCATGGCTAATTTGAGGGCAGAGTCTTTGGGTTTTTGATGGAATCTTCTTTGAAGCAGACTTTTGACTTCTTGAAAGAAGCCTGACATGTCTGGCTTCCCCCATTGCCCAGAAAATACGTTTTGACATCTGGATTGAGTTACAAAAAAGACCTTATTTTTACTACTCACCTTTTCTAGTTACCGACCATTTTAAATTTATCCAGTAGCATTTTACTTAGTTTGGTTTAACAGTGCAGAAAGTTACTTAAAATGTTGAGGGACCTCAGCTTTTGTGTGTGTGTGTGTGTGTGTGTGTGTGGTAGAATATTTATTTATTTATTTATTTTTACAAATAGTTTATTGTCAAGTTGGTTTCCATATAATACCCAGTGCTCATCCCCACAAGTGCCCTCCTCCATGCCCGTCTCCCCTCTCACCCCCCACACTCATCAGTCCTCAGTTTGTTCTCAGCATTCAAGAGTCTCTCATGGTTTGCCTCTCTCCCTCTCCCCCACTATTTCCCCCCTTCTTCTCCCCCGCGGTCCTCCATTAGGTTCCTCCTAATCCTCCTATACGTGCAAACATATGGTATTTGTCCTTCTCTGCCTGACTTATTTCGCTCAGCATAATACCCTCAAGGTCCATCCATGTTGCTACACATGGCCAGATTTCATTCTTTCTCATTGCCATGTAATATTCCATCGTATAGATAAACCTCAGCTTTTAAAGAACTGTTTTACATTTAAGTATCATTAATTTTTAATTGTTTAAAAAGTTTTACTTATTATGTGGAAACTAATTTGACAATAAACTATTTGTAAAAAATAAAAAATAAAAAAAATAAAATACAGTTTGTCTGATAAAAAAAAAAGTTTTATTTATTTTGAGAGAGAGACAGTGTGAGCAAGGGAGAGCCAGAGAGAGAAGGAGAGAGAATCCCAAGCAGGCTCCTCACTGCCAGTGCAGAGCCAGACGCAGGGCTAGAATCCACAAAACCGCAAGATCATGAACCTGAGCCAATTGCAACAGTTGGACACTCAACCATCTGAGGCACTCAGGTGCCTCCATTTAAATATCATTTTAATACATCACACAAAATTTACAACTTACTATTTTCCAGTTCCCAGCCCTGCTCCCTCCACCTCTTCAGAAGACGGCTTCTAGTGTCATAAACTTGTCCTTCATTTCGCCTTCGAGGTTCCCTCATCAGTACTCTGGGTGTCCAGGAACCGTGTCTGGAGCTATCCTAGGCCAGGCGATAAGCTCTTCTACCAGCTTTCCTCTATGGTTGAGTAGGGTGTTTTCTCAACTTTATTTCTGGTTTTGTCATTGCCACCCAAACTCTCCCTCTACGTTGTTTTCTTCTAACCCAAATTCTCTGGTAGTGATCCTGCTTATTTCTTTCAGATGGAGATTATTTTACCTTTACAAGACATGAACCCATAGGAGTGTGTGGACAGATCATCCCGGTGAGTGGATCTCCTCATGCCTCGTATTTATTTTCATTTGAACCAGTTCTCTTAGAGATACATAAAACATGGACCTCGGGAGGTGTGCTTTCCATTACTGGGGGAAAAAAACTGAGCCCATGTTGTTGACATATCTTTAACAGCCTCCCTGCAAATGCTTATTTGAACAGGTTAATAGGGTTTCGGCTCCGTTACCAGGAGTTGAGTTCTCAAGCCATGGAATTCTCATGATTAAAATAAGCAAAGCAAAGCCCAGTGTATTAATAACCTGCCCTTGGTTATGGATGTCCATTCTGCTTATGGAAAATTAATGCTTTGTTATATTTGCTTGTTTATTTTTTAGAACTATGACTCACCATCTTTCCAGGCATATTGTTTTATATGGTCTTTTAATCCCATTCTTTCCCACTGTTTCTTTTCACAAGAATCTAGATAGAAGACTGTACAGAAGACACAGCAGTACAATTAACGTCACGGTCATAATTGAAACCATGCCGGGCTGTTGTATGTCTTGTAAAGGGAAATAGATGTAGTGCTTAGTGTTTGGATTGGAACATTAAACATTGTCTTTTTTTCCCTCTCTCTCTCATACACAGCCTTGGCACTGTACAAAACATCATCGAATCTTCCAACAGTACTAGTAATCATTCTGGCAAGGATTTCAGGAGGGGCTTAAATTAAACTCTTAGAGCATAGACAAGAAATTTTCTCTTTTCAAAATACAGGAGAAGTTACTCTTTGGCTTTGGGGGCCAAAGATCTTTGAGAGGTATTACTACTTTTTAAGATGATCTGCCTGCTATGGATTTGTGTGAAATTTATTAGAGAATGGAATAGAAAATGAGAGGCTGGTGTAAGCTCTGCTGCTCCTACACCACCCAGGGTGATCCCACTTGCATCAGGACAGGGGTGAGGTCTGTCACCTCAACTTCAGGAACCTAGCTCACCTTGCCCTTCCCCACACTCTCGGGGCTCCAGCTTTCACTGACAGGACAAGAGCCACTTGTCAGCCAGCTCTGGCTCAATTACCACACTCCAAGATTTATATACTGTAGATGGAATTAAAACATCACTGTGGACTCCCAAGTTTATAAACAACCAAGGGGAAAAGAAATTGGGTGTTTGGTGAAGGCAAGACACTTGTATATTTTTGCTAGCTTGCCAGGGCCAGTGGGAATCTCTCAAGGGGGGTGGCTGAGACGCTTCAGGCAGAAACACACTGTGGTCAAGGGCTGAAGCCAGGGGACCAGAATTTCTGTTTTCTTTTTTAATGAAATTATCTGTGACACCTGATAGTATTGAGGTTCATCTGTGTGCTTATGACAATACAAGCTTAATATCTTTTAAAAACCTTTTAAACCATTTTAGGCCCCTAATTCAGACACTCGACGTAGTATTTTTCAGTCTCCGTTAAGTGGAAAGGAGACAAGTGAAAATTGTTGCATCCTTGTCAGTAGATGTGCTTCCTTTTGTGTATGTTTTGTGACGACACATGTATGTAAAGAAAAGCCACTACTTGAAATACATGTTAACTTAAATATAATGCACAGCTGGAGTTTTCTCATCTCGCTCTTCCGCACCGAAGTGCTCTCAAGCCAGTCTGAAATTCCTGGTGTAAAAATCACAAGTTCAAGAGAGAGTTTTTATACACAAGCACTTACTGGAACCAAAGTCCAATCTTAAAAACATAAAATGACAACAATGAAAAGCTGAAACAAAGAAAAAACAAAAACTCCCTATTCTCCATGAGATTTCTTTTGGTAGTTGGGTAGTTGGGAAATAATAATTTGCCCAACAGAGAGAAAAGGAATGCTTTTCCAGGTCAGTCCTATTCTCTTCTTAATGAAGTAATTAAAATATCCAAACATTGATAGTTGGTGGTGGGACAAGATTTATGTTGAGGCCTCGTCTGAGAAATCGGAGCAGTCACAGCTTGAAAACAAAGCAGTAGAGGAATATTTTTTCATTTATCAACCTTGAGTTTCTTCCTTTCAGTGGAACTTCCCCCTGCTGATGTTTGCTTGGAAAATTGCTCCAGCTCTTTGCTGTGGCAATACAGTAGTTATTAAACCAGCAGAACAAACACCACTCAGTGCACTCTACATGGGAGCCCTCATCAAGGAGGTAAGAGAAACCCGCCTTAGGAGTGGCTCCCACTCCCCTTGTTGTTGCGGCCTACTGGAGCATAGCCGATTTAATGTGCTTCATCAGCTTTCACAAGCCACGTTTCCTCCAATTCTGTTTTGTTAGGCTGGCTTTCCTCCAGGAGTCATCAATATTTTGCCAGGATATGGGCCAACGGCTGGAGCGGCGATAGCTTCTCACATTGGCATAGACAAGATTGCATTCACAGGGTCAACTGAGGTAGGTACCTGAGAAGCCATTGGTGGAGGAACAGTCCTGCAAGTGAGCAGAGGGTTTGAAAGAAAACAGGCCGGACACCCAAAGAGCAGTGAGTACCCAAGTGCTCAAAGGGGCACCGTTGATATCGTAGCTAGAAATGCTCGTGAATGTCAAAGTAAAGTTGGGCGTTGACCTTTTGATGCTGCAGATCTTTGTGTGTGTGTGTGTGTGTGTGTGTGTGTGTGTGATGCTCTTTGTAAACCTGTCCTGGGACGGGTGGGGGACCCTATTATATTTTGAAATAAAAGAAACACTGTTCAGAGGTAAAAAGAAGCAAACAAAATCTATCCCAGAAGCTGGGGTTCTACACACTTTTTGGAGTCCAGAGCATTAGTGGCAGAAGCAGGTTTAAAAGCTGGAAATCTAATTTCCAGTTGAGATTAAAATGGAAACACAGTTCTCCTCATTATTTCACCAGATCCTGTAGGTGCCGTTGATAACTGTAACTATGTCCAGGAGCCATAGGGATGGAAAAGAGCAGGGGTCAGCAAACTTCTCTTGGAAAAGGCCAGCTAATAAATGTTGTAGACCTTGCAGGTGATTTTGTTTCTATCACAACTACTCCACTCTGCCCTTGTAAAGCATGAAGCAGCCAGAGGAAATGTATAAGCCACGCATGGCCATGGGCCCATAAAACTTTATTTATAGATACTGAAATTTGAATTTCATATAATTTTTACATATCCCAAAATATTAATCTTTTGATTCCCGCCCCCAACCATTTAAAAATATAAAAGCCGTTTTTAGTTTGCAGGCTGTACCAAAGTAGGCAGGAGGCCAAGTTTGGCTCAGGGGCCATAGTTTATTGACCCCTGATACAGAGTCATAAGTCTGCCTAGAAAAATTTTTTATAAAATATTACCCCAAATGTCTTGGATTCAGGTAACAGAGATGATAAAAAAAAAGAGAGAGTCTGATTTATTGTTTCAAGTAGAACTTGAATGTTCTACATTCAACAGAGAATGTTTGCGGATCTCAAGGAGTAGTTTGCTACCTAACAAATACAGTGAGAGCAAAACTTGTAATGAAAAATTTGCTTTTAGCCACATTAAAAAATTCTTAAATAAGTGAAATTAATTTTAATAATGTATTTTATTTAATCCAGTGTATCCAATGTATTCATTTCAAATTATGATAAAAAAATCATTGTCACAGTATTTTGCATTCTCTTTTCAGTACAAAGTGCTTGAAGTCTGGCATGTATTTTACATTCACAGCACATCTCAATTTGGTCTAGCCACTTTGTGAGTGCTGTGTAGCCACATGTGGCTAGTGATTAGCACACTGGATGGCACAGGCCCAGGGGCCTGATTATATCAGTGCGTTTAATGATACTTAGTTCAACTGACTCATGTGAAAAAAAGTTCCATAAGAGATTGGTTAATAAACCTGAATATTAATTTATAGTTAGAGATTGTTGAGTTTTATGTTTGTAAAGAGTTAATCTTGTTTCCAGACTTTTTATTCTAGTTGTACCTTATTATAGTAATTTGCAATTTTAATGAACTATATAAACCAAAATGTGAGTGTGAAAGGGAAGTATAGTTCCTTTTTAAACTAAGTCTAGTGTCTTGAAAAGATTTGCTAAGAGTTGCCTTAGAAACTGCAGTCAGCTAGGGGTGGGCAAGACAATTATAAAAAGTTGGAGGAAAATATAAAGCTAGATTGTGCGCCTAGATTGCTTTGCAAATATTTTTAAGTCTTCACTCCACTTTCATTTTTTGAGAGAGAGAGGCACAAAGCATGAGTAGAGGTGGGCAGATAGAGAGAATCTGAAACAAGCTCCAGGCTCAGAGTTGTCAGCACAGGGCCTGATACAGGGCTTGAACCCACGAACCATGAGATCATGACCTGAGCCCAAGTCAGATGCTTAACCAACTGAGCCATCCAGACACCCCAGTCTTCACTCCACTTTTTAAAAAAACATTTTTTTAGTGTTTATTTATTTTTGAGAGAGAGAGAGACAGAGCATAAGCAGGGGAGGAGCAGAGAGAAAGGGAGACACAGAATCTGAAGCAAGCTTCAGGCTCTGAGCTGTCAGCACAGAGACTGACACAGGGCTTGAACCCATGACTTATGAGATCATGACCCAAGCTGACATCAGATGCTTCACCGACTGAGCTACCCATGTGCCCCTTCACTCCATTTTAAAGAAACTGGGACCAGAAACCTTAAACAGTATTTTAGGGGTATGGTTTCATCAGAAACAACAGGTGAACCCATAATTAAAGAAAAGTTTTTAGTTCTATATTGAAAACTAGGGAATGAACTTTTTTTTAATTAAAAAAATTTTTTTAATGTTTTATTTCTGAGAGAGAGAGGAAGAGAGACAGTGTGAACAGGGGACGGTCAGAGAGAGAGGGAGACATAGAATCTGAAACAGGCTCCAGGCTCTGAGCTAGCTGTCAGCACAGAGCCCGAGGCGGGGCTCAAACCCACAAACCGTGAGTTCATGACTTGGCCAAAGTCGGACATTTAACCGACTGAGCCATCCAGGCACCCGTTATTAAGAATGAATTGAAATGAATTATTTAAGGAACTTTCTCTGCTTTAATCTCTTTGTGTTAACCAATCAGTGGTGCTGATTGAGTCAGTTTAGGGCTTTCTACTAGTATATTTTTTTAAGTTTATTTTATTTTGGCTGTGGAGAGGGGCAGAAGTAGGCTTTGCATCATCAAGGCTTGAATTCACAAACCCTGAGATCATGACCTGAGCCAAAATCAAGAATTGGATACTTAACTGACTGAGCCACTTAGGTTCCCCTGTAATATTTTTTAATAAAAATGAGATCATAATATATAAAATGAGTTATAGCACCTTATATGTCAGTACTCATAGATCTCCATTTTAATAGCTGAGTAGAATACTCTTACATCAGTGTATCATAGTTTAATTAATCTTTGCTAATGTACATTTCAAAGTTTTTTAGGTTTTTTTTTTTACTTTCTTCCCCTATTACACAGACCACTGTAATGAAAATCTTTGGAGAGCTGAGAGAAATTTTGTTCATATACATATTAGACATTCCACTAGATACAGTTTAGAAATGAAATTATAAAATAAGAGGATGTTTATGGCTTTATATTTCTTTTTACCAAAAATGCATTAGAGTGATTTCATTTATAGGATCTCTTTATGTATTAAGTATGTTCATCTTTTGTTTCTTGTGGAATTTGCAAATGTTCTCAGTTTTTTTATTTTATATTTTTTAAACAGAATTGTTTGCCATGCACAATTTTTTAATTTGTCTGTAGTCATATCTTTCATACTTTTTGTGGCTTCTGGGTTTCCTACTGTCTTTAAAGAAATCCTTTTAAGATTATACTAATGATCCTTAATATTTTCTTTCAGTGCCTTTATAGTTTTGTTTCTGTTTAAATCTTTAATTTGGTTGGAATTTATTTGCATGTGTAATGAATGGTGAGACCTAAGTTTATTTTTTATTTTTTAAAGTTTTTATTTAAATTCCAGTTAGTTAACATACAGTGTAATATTAGTTTTAGGTATACAATTTAGTGATTCAGCACTTCCATACAACACCTGGCTCATTATAAGTGCCCTCCATAATCCCCATCACTTATTTAACCCATCTCCTTACCCATCCCCTCTGGTAACCATCAGTTTGTTCTCTGTAAGAGTCCATTTCTTTTTGTTGGTTGTTTTTTTTTGTTTGTTTTTTTTGTTTTTTTTTGTTTTTTTTTCAGAGAGAAAGAGTATGAACAGGAGAGGAGCAGAGAGAGAGGGGAGAGAGAGAATCTCAAGCATGCTCCACATTCAGCATAGAGCCCAATCTCATAACCCTGATATTACTCCTAGAGCTGAACCCAAGAGTTGGACGCTTTAAGCAACTGTGCCACTCAGGCACCTCCAAGAGTCTCTTTCTTGATTTGCCTCTCTCTCTCTCTCTTCTTTATTCCCCTTTGCTCCTATGTTTCATTTTTTAAATTCTGCATATGAGTGAAATCACACAGTATTTGTCTTTCTCAGACTGACTCATTTTGCTTGGCATAATACTCTCTAGCTCCATCTATGCTGTTGCTAATGGCAAGATTTCATTCTTTTTTATGCCTAACATTCCATTATGTATATACACATGCCTATATATACATATATACATACAAATATATCCCCTATTCTTGTTTTTGTATTCATCAGTTGATGGACACTTGGGCTGTTTCCATAATTTGGCTATTGTAGATAATCCTACTATAAACATGGGGTGAAAGTATCCCTTTGAATTAGTATTTTTGTATTATTTGGGTGAATACCTATTAGTGGAATTGCTGAATCATAGGGTAGTTCTATTTTTTAACTTTTTTAGGAAGTTTTCCAGAGTGACTGCACCAGTTTGCATTTCTACCAGCGGTGCAAGAGGGTTCCCTTCTCCACATCCTCGCAAATACTGGTTTCTTGTGTTGTTGATTTTAGTTATTCTGACAGGAGTGAGGTGATATCTCATTGTACTTTTAATTTGTATTTACCTGATGATCAGTGATGTTGACTAACTTTATTTTTTTATAAATGAGTGTTATTAAACAATCTATCCTTTTACAGCTAATTTGAATACTACATTAACATTATATGATAAATTTCCATATATACATGTTTCTGTTTTAGGACTCAAAATTTTGTCTTTTTTTTCCATTAGTACCAGATTCCTTTAATTACAAGGTTTTAAAAGATGTTGCAATATGGCAGGCAAAATACCCTCTTATTTGATTTTTCAGAACCTTTTAGCTATTTTTGCCCATTCTTTCAGGTAAAATTTCAAATCTTTTTTTAAAATTTTTTATTTATTTAATTTATTTTTTGAGAGAGAGACAGAGAGCAAGCTGGGGAGGGACAGAGAGAGAGAAGGAGACACAGATTCCAAAGCAGACTCTAGACTCTGTGCTTACATGGAGCTTGAACTCACAAACTGTGAGATCATGACCTGAGCCGAAGTCGGAGGCTTAACCGAC